GACCTGGGTGTTCTAAATTATACAGCGAATTCACAACGAGTCATATTAGAACATATCTTGAATTGAATAGTTGTTTATTTTCGTTTACCTGTCATGATCGACATATGAGAACACGTGACAAATGCTTAACGTTAATAAAACTTCAAGAAAAAGTTTTTTTTCTTACGTTCTCTTTGTTTTATGGTTCATCGTATATGCATAAAAAATAACACTTCAAATAGAGAAAAAAGTTTAACTCAAAGTTCTCATCATCCTCGAAACGTCTTGTAAAAGTATAACGACTTTTTTTTTTCGTTTGACTACCCTAGAATAATTTTTTTTATGAATTATTGTAAGCATATTTCGTCGTTGTTGTACTTCTATGGTTTCGCATAATGAGGAGAACCATTACACTTTTTTCTATTCTCTTGGACTTCTCGCCATATTGCCTGAAAGATAATGTCGTTGTCTATCACGATCTTATTCGATCGATTCTTCTTAGTACAAGTGGCTATTTCCATGCACTTGGTGGATATCTCACCTGCTCGATAGTATATGGCAATAGAAATCTTATCTTTCAATGGATTATCGGTTTTATTATATTGTGTTTCGTTGGTTTATTTAGCTGTGTGATAAAGCTGTTTTTTTGTTGACTCGTTTATTTGATATTATATACTCTTTTATATTTTGTGGAGAAGACATCATAGAAAAAAAAGACTAATGATTTATTTCTTGTCCAATCTCATTTGTTGATGGTATGACTGAAGAGCATAAAATGTGCACACTCAAGCTATATGATATTCCGGTTATGGAAGAAAGTATAACCGTTCAGCAACACATTACTTAACGCAGAATTTTTCGATGCATGTTTTGCAAAACATTCCAATTAAAGCGATCAATGTTATTGAGAAGAGTGCAGGTGTAGCTGAAGAGAAAACCCAGATTCACACTAATAATCGATCTTCTTCATTGGTTTTTCTTTCACCTTTTGTCATAACATAAACAAAATATTTTACAGATTCATTTCCATCTGAAAGTGAATAGACTATTGATGTTTAAATATTGTGGACAAAAATGAGGTTGTTGAAATTATATTCAATCAAATCGACCATTATTCGATTGAAGATATTGACTGATTTCTGTTGATATCCAATCAATTTTTTCAGCACATGATTATGAACTATAACCAAGACAAGGAAGTAACCAGGAATGTTTTCCGAAGGGGGAGCTCATAGAGAAAAGTGATTTTTTGCTTGTGAACATATCAAATTTAAATAAAGGATTCATTGATACAGTCAAGGATGAACCATAACGACCTTGAACATTGGTAACTGTCCAGCTCGTTCATTCCTACAATCGGATCCGTCGTCGGATTAGTCGACCTGGGTGTTCTAAATTATCCAGCGAATTCACAACGAGTCATGATCGACATATGAGAACACGTGGCAAATGCTTAACGTTAATAATACTTCAAGAAAAATTCTTTTTTTCTTACGTTCTCTTTGTTTTATGGTTCATCATATATCCATAAAAAATTACAATTCAAATAGAGAAAAAGATTTAACTCAAAGTTCTCATTATCCTCGAGACTTTTTGTAAAAGTGCAACGTTTTTTTTTCGTTTGATTACCCTAGAATAATTTTTTTCTGAATTATTGTACGCATATTTCGTCGTTGTTGTACTTCTATGGTTTCGCATCATGAGGACCATTACACTTTTTTCTATTCTCTTGGACTTCTTGCCATATTGACGAACATCAAGAACAAATAACAAGGAAGAAAAAAGATTTTTTTTTTCTTTAAAGAGACAGCTAGTGAATATATTTCTTTTGTATAAATTTATCTAGTATGGGAAGAAAAAGAATTCTTACAGTAATTTATTGTTTCATATCTTTTTTCCCACCAAAGAAATCCTTTTTATCTGTATTTCATTGTATTGGAATCGTTTTATTTAGTTATCTAATAGGTAATGAAAAAAAAATGTTTGATTAATTGAAATTACATTTCTTCTATTTTTAAAATAGTTCATCAAGTATATCAAACATCTTCTACTTACGTAAGAAGTATTCATCAATCATCAGACATAGCATTCACTGACAAAGATCATAATACTTGTGTGGATGATAGTAAATTATCACTTCGAATTCTTTCAAGTGTAATTTTTCGTAGTGACACAATAAATTATCTTGGTTTTGTACTTCGATCTCATTCATTATTTTATTGTTCAGTTCCAAAAGTAGCTACACGAACTTTTCTTACATTTGTTACTTATCTTCATATACGTGATGATTTAATACCTTTACTCACAAATAAATCAACACTGAGTAATTGGAATTCTCAGAGAAAAGCAAACCCTTTCGATTTTAATAATATCAACCAAATCCTGTCGTCTCCAATGAAGGTAAAAATAATAACACGCAGTTTTTCTCATCCTCTTGAAACACTCATAGGCGTTCACACTTTTTTTTATTATTTACATGTTCTGTATTGCAAAATGTTTAAGAGTACAAAACAAGAAACAGAACGACAAATAAAGAAATAACTTATTCTATTTTCTTTGACCGTGCTTATTTATTTAGACATTTTCTTTTAGTGCAAAATATGATCAAGTCTTTCTATAGAAAAAAATTGCAGCAAAAATTGATTAAATTAACATTTTAGTATTTTTTTTATTCCTAAATAAATTTAATTTAAAGAACACGTTCTGTTTGAAAAAAATACGAAGAAATTTTAACTTTATTGAAAAACAGAGGTCAGAATAGATATTAGATTTTCTTATTTTTCATTTTACAATGATAAACTATATTGCATTGGACTGATAAATAAAAGCATCGACTTATATTCAATTTAAACATTTTTAGAATGACTCTCAGCCATCCCTGCTCAATTCAATTTCAATTCTTAAATCGTTTTTATCACTCCTCGTGGATTTCAATAAAAAAAATGTCACCGATTTTGATGTCTGGTCAATATATCAACGGAAAAGTTTTCCTCTTATTCGCCCTCAAACTTTAGCCAATGTATCGCTAATTTTTTCATCGAATTTTACTCGTGTTATTTTTGTCCGTCATCCGTTAGAGCGTTTAGCATCAGCTTATGTCGATAAAATAGCTTCGCTGACGAATGAGCCATTTTTATTGTATGATTCAATACGTCGAGCAATTTGTCGAAAATACTCTTCATTTTATCTGACAGATGCTCAACGTAAGTTTTATCGTATTCATAGACGAATACCGAAAAAAATCGAAGAACCATGCCATAACGTAGTTCCTAAATTTGAGCATTTTATTGCTTATATTATGTCTAATTCAATCATAAAAGATGTTCATTGGTATCCTTATTCAAAACTATGTTATACATGTTTATTTAAATATAATTTTATCGGAAAATATGAAACAATTGAAGAAGATCTTGGAAGATTATTAACGTATCTTGGATTAGAGCAAAGGATTGGAATAATGTCAACTACTTTAGGACTGGAAAAACAAGAGAGCATTATAAATCAATGTATTCAAATTTAAATAATCAATTACTTTGTACCTTGAAATATGTCTACCGACAAGACTTTAAATTATTTGATTATCGACTGGAAGATTATTTAACAGATGAGAAAACTATTGCATGTTCTCCATCACATGAAAGACAACTAAAAAAAACATATAAGAAATTGAATTTGTTTTAATTAATTTTTTATTTACTATACTTCTGTTAAATTCATACACGATATAAGAATTTCTGTAATTTTAATCTACGGTAATCGATTTTCGTGTTGACGATACAGGCTGAATGTCTCAACTTAGAACTTTTTTTTTAGGAACAATTCAACTTGAATGTGTAGAATTATTGTTAAAAGAAGGGGTGTTGTATGTCAATGAAAATCAAGATGAGGCAATTTGGTTTAGATGTTTGATTAGTCATCGATTTCAAGCTGGTGATAATGATGCTTTTCGATTCGAAGGACTTAATTCGATAAAAATGTATACAATTCAAGAGATTGATATCTATCGGAACTCGTTATCTGGCGATCATCTAATGACATATGGATTCAATCCAATGGAAGACATACAACGATTAATTATTGCTCATAAATTGACCAAATCTAATTTATGAACTGTAAAAGTTATTCATTCGTTTATAAATAAGTTTGTTTGCTAGAATGAATTGACACTGAAAATGATATCTAACTATGTGTCATTGGTCAAGTGATTTTCGTGGTTACATGTTAATTGAACTTAATATTTATTTATTCAAAACAAATTGTTACAACCATATTGTAAGTTTATCTCCTATAGGAAATATTATTTGATATGTATTAGAATCGAATAGTCGCTTGTTGTCAGCGGCGAGTATTGCTTGTTTGATTGCTAGCTGCTTTTCTGGCTTGACCGGCAACCAACCTTCTTTGTTTAGAGTCAGTTCCACAAGCCGATGAAATGTATTGATAATTTTCAGAACAAAGTCGACGAGACTCTGATTGAATGCTATATGGCGATCACTTGTCTCGAAACAACATATACCGGGCAGTAATTGAAAGAGATGATTAACGTCAATGTGCGCATTTGGATCATCATAATTTGACTTTAATATGAAATGAACATATCTCACATTCGTATTAGGGCATGAACAAGAACGAAAATCATTCCAGTCCACAACGAGATTTGATAGCCCAGGTGATACATTAAGTATATGATCGATAATGTACACGCGTCGTGATCGTTTCATCGACTTATATTCGAAGGTGAAAGTTACAGAGCGCAATCGATGAAAATATATATCAGACCATAATGAATTGGTTACATTCAATTTAATAGGCGTCTAAAAACAAAGAACTAATAATTCAATGTGTTCGATTAACTATAAAAGTATTTGCAGATATTTCATTGAAATTTTATCAAAATATACAGGTAGTCCAAAAAGTATCCGGAGAGCTACGCATTTTCTTGGCTTGCGAGCCAGAAACAAGAGATATTTTTTTTACTTTTTTAGTCCATAGATAGTCCCCCCTTCATACTAGATATTCTATAAAAATAAGCAATTATGATCATCATCTCGAATTGCAGGAAGCTTTTTTCAGTACGTCCAGACCAAGGCTCTTCTACTTTTCATACAAAGATGTTCGTTTTTTCCACATCTATTGACATGAATTTCAAAATAAAAGTAACTTTTACAGAAGAGTCTTGCTCTGGACGTATAGAAAAAATCAAGTATTTTTGTGAAAAAGCTTCCTGTAATTCGAGATGATGATCAGAATTGCTTATTTTTTTATAGAAAATCTAGTATGAAGTGAGGACTATCTATTGAGTAAAAAAGGAAAATAATATCTCGTTTCTGGCTCGCAAATCAAGAAAATACGTAGATCTTCGGATAGCTTTTTTTGGACTACCTATATATAACTATCAACATACAAAAAGACTGAGAAAATGAATTCTATTAAAATTCTAACCTTCATCTTGTAATAATGTAAGTGAAGTGTCTTCAAATGACCACCAGCTAAAATATTTAAAGTAGTGCTCAATTGATTCAAACTATCTATCTTATTACAGATCCATTCGATTGATCGCTGTTGAATAATATTTGAATGTTTCGTAAACGAATGATTGTGTACAGTACGTATATATTGTTGTAATATATCAAATGGATGCGTGTAAAAGAGAAGAACTGTTTTCATGAGAGTTTTCCCATTACAATCTTCGGAAATAAGCTGCTCGTCGAGATGATAACCAATATTATTGAATGGCCATATGTTGCCATATTTCATCAAGTAAATGTTTAATATTTCATTGAAATTCCCAGGAAAACAAAGTAGAAAGTAAAGATGTTTCAAAGCAGGCAAATGATTGTGATCAACAACACGTCGAAATTCATCAAGATTTGCAAGTGCTATGCATTAAAATAAAAACAAATTATATCTAATAAATAAAGCGTGAAGAACACTGTTTACAGCAATGAATATGTAAACATACGATATTAACTTGTATAAACAAATATTTTATCTTAGCTTCTCAAAGGCTAAAATGTGTAAAAAAAGCATTTAAACCGAATTTTACAAACATGCCTATTCTATTGAACGAAGTAGTATTTTCATAAGATTCTTTCAATCATAAAGCTTTATATTATAATTGTATATCTTAAAAATCGAGTGTTCATAATCAAATGGATAAACTAAATTTCTCAGAAATACATAACATCTATAACCTACTTTCATCGAATATATCAACAAGCGTTAATTTCTTCAATAAAGGCATATTGAGAGAATCGAGTAGTATTATAAGCTGATTGAGAGCCAAATGACGTAATAGAAGAGACTGAAGTCTAGTAGCATCAGTCATTCGACGAATATCAGATTGACAGAATTGAATGTCTGGTTGCTTCTCTTGTAAATAAGGTTTTTCTTCGAATTGTTCTTGTTCAAATGTTATATTTAAATGTTCAAGAAGTGGTATAGCACCACTTTGAAGAATGACTATAATTTCAAATGGATATTGCACACTCAAAGTCAATTGAACAGCACGTGACCAAAAGAAAGGTTTCATTTCTAATAAATGTGAGTATATATCTTTTGTAAATTTACGATGACCTTGAAAAATAAAATAAATAATTAACTTTTACATAATTTACAAAACACAGACCTTTTGAAAGCATCAGTATAATAGACTCGACATTACTCATGGTAGTTCGCCCCTTAAAAAGCTTTTGTCTGCTCCCCCAGAGTGAAAAACCTGGATAAAACACTTATGATTCAGATTTTATCTTTGTGGAACCCTCTTTTAAAGTCTGGTTAAGTGCATCTAGCACATTTATGACAGAATAATTCATAAGAGTTAACAGCTTTAAACATGTTTTATATTCTCTTTTTACTCTTTTCTTTCTTTTTGAGTTGAATTTATCTTGTTGAGTTTCTTTATTCAGTGCTATTGATGTTACATACCGTTTTCCACTTCAAGTATCATGCTATGAACCGATGTCTGAGTTTTAACGAATGTGACGAGAACGTGCATGTAGTCATCATCAGGATATTCGAATACAAGATGAATATATTGTAAAGTGTTGCCAAGTGTTAAATGTTTAATTAGATAGACAATGCCATACGTATAATATTCTGTTTCGATTATAACCAATCGTTCAATTGATGGTGTTAAGTAGTTTGGTGATATCATTCCTATCCAATGTTCAAAGAAAGCTAAAGAGGCACATGAATTATTAAGAACAATAGTTTGTAATAGATTGGAGAAATTTGGCATGTTGAGGATGTTATTCATTTGTGTATATGACATCATCCTTGCATTTAGTACAAGAGATTGAGACATTATTATATGTTTGATACGTTCATTTTTTATATCAGAAAAAGCTTTGAATAGATCGAAAGAGGATAAATAATTGAAAATGATTATCCATAACTCATTTGGTAATGACTCAAATTTACTAATATTCATTTTCTTATCGCATCTGTACTGTACATGCATTATTAAAATATGAATTATTGTATAAGCAGGCCAATACCGTTCTCACTGTCGTTCGGCTAATTGTATAACAATGCGTTCATTGTTTTCTTTTTCATGATGCGTGACAATCATTGTTGGTGAACAAAAAGAAGTTTTTTTTTAATTTTCGTTCATGTTAGATGTCAGTATAAAAATATATAATATAAAATGCATCACAGATTTATCTTTTTTTTTACATGAATAAAATCGTATTGTGCTGAATTTCTTAGTTTTTTAATTCACATCAAATGATAAATTTGCACAATATAGATTAATACGGAATTCTTCATAACAACATTGAATGATTGAATATCTCGAAACATAAAAAAATTTATACAAATTTATGCATAAATTAAGAAAACATAGAGTGATGTGCAATACTGAAAAGTAATTCGAAGTTTCGGAAAGCAATTGGTTCTTTGCTGCACTGCGTATTAAATTTCGACCCAACTAATTAATGGTGGTGGATGTTGTCATATTGTTTTTTCATTAGAAGGTATTACCAATAAATAAAAATTGATAACATAGATATTTATAAATTTATTTGAATTGAATAAAGAACAGTGAATAAGAAAAATAAGTTTATCATTTTTTGTCCGGTAAAAAAAAGAAAATGCAATACGTCAGTTCGAATACAATATGATCTTGAATTGCTTAAGTATACATAATATGATGATAATGATTAGAATAGACCTTTTTTGTAGTGCATGCCTCATTTTCGTTCAATTCTTAGCATTGCTATAAACTCGATTAAGTTTCAATGCCTTTTGTACACAAACTTTTGCTGTATCCAAGGGGGAAACGGCAGACTTCAAGTACAGTCAAGTAGAGTAAAGTAACGTCTAACGTAATCTAAATCAGGATAAAGTACTTTGAAATTAGAGAAAAGTATTTTAAAGTAGCTCCAAATGCTGTGAAGTAGCGCAAATTAGTTTCAAGTACAAAGTATGCTGTTTCCCCCTTGGTTGCATCGCACGAACAAGATTTTCATTTTACTACATTCAATGAATGTTATGTGTCTATATACGACATTTTTTATTCTGTCTAGCGAAAAACGAGCACGAATAAATTTTCGTAGTTATGCTGTGAATTTTAGTTTTATTGTTTGGTGACTGTAAGGTTATTGTTCTATTTTTGTTCATCGAGAAATATACACATGAAGCCCATCAATTCAGTTTTGATGTGATCTATGATATTGACTGATTCATGAAGCTGTTAATGAACAATAAGTTATTATTCTCATTTCTTTTAATACTTCCCCTGTTTATGTTACGCACACATTTTGAACCATACTTCACTTAGAGAAAAATCAATTCAAGGATCAAGTAAACTTCTTTTTTATTCTCATTTAGCCAATTTCCTAAAGTGTCTCCCAAAAAAGTTTCTTTGAATCGATCTAAAGTTATATTATCTTGCAGGGCTCAATGAGTTGTATTTACAGTAAAAAAATCAGCTTAGACGAACGTTTCTTTAGGAAGACATAGGGCGCACAAGTTAGACCTGAAATTTCCATAATTCATAAAGAAATATGGACTTGTATGTCTTATATCTCCCCACAGAAACATTCATCTAAACTGACGTTTTTACTGTAAATACAACTCATTGAACCCTACAAGGTAGGATAATCTTTGGTCGATTTAAAAGACTCAGGTGTTTTTGTGAGAGAAACTCTATGGAACAGGCCATTTGATCAAAGAAAAACAAAATAAAATTATAATTCTTCATCATCTTCTTCTTCATCGTCGGCATGAATGGCACTTGTTACATTGCACATTTCTCGATCATCTGCATTAAGTTCACGTTCATTTTTACTTAATTTAGTTGCAAGCTGCTTTGAAATTGAGGAGCAATAGCTAAATAAATTTTCAGCTAATAAACCTTCCACTTCAACTGCATTGGCTGCACGTGCATTTTTACGGAAATGATCAATACATTTATGACGAAACTGACGTATACGTAAATTTTCATCTGCACCTACACAAAAAAGATATGTTGAGCATAAAATTAATAAGAAAGTTTTAAAGTTGATCATTAGTCGCATAGTAAAAGGTTATTTGTGTTAGAAGACTGAAAATTAACTATATCATATTTTGACTATTTGGAAGAGTTCGACTTTTGTTGTATCGAGCAGAATTGCATCATCATAAAGAATTGAACAAGTAAAAAGATATACCGAACTGTACAAATCGAACTTTCACTATTGGCGAATGTCTACTCTCTCACCGACAAAAAATTCTCATTTCAATTGTTTCTTTTTTCTATTATTCTACGTAAATTTGTATATTATTGCATAGGCAATAGAGTCAACTATATACATATATCTACATAACATACTTATTTGCCTTTTATTGTGCTTACTTTTATTTGAAAATGATCCGTTTTGATGATATTGAGAAAACAAAAATAATAATGCACATAGGAAAAATATCTCATTTAATTTTTTTCAGTTTTAGAACGAAAGTATGCCTAAACGAGTCTTTTTTGAAAGTCAAATATATGTTCTCTGTAGCCAAATAACCTTCACAAATGATCACCCAGTCTGATACCAATAATATATAAAAATGCAGCTCTAAACCTGGGCGATAACATGACTCGCAATTCTCCTAACTCAATTACTCAAGCTATTCAAACATATAGTATCAGTCATATACTCTTCGCAGGCGATATTATTGTATATCATAAGAACGTTGTTGTTACTGTATGCATGCAGAGTTCGAACAGTCAAACAAGAAGAACTTCGAGTCAGATTGCTCCCTCCTTCGATTCAGAGCTACGCTTTCATCGATTATTGGTAACAGACAGAGTGATCATTTTTTAGGGTTATTTGGCTACTGAGAACATGTATTTGGCTTTCAAAAAAGACATGCTTAAACATATTTTCGCTCTAAAACTGAAAACGGTTAAATGAGATATTTATCTTATGTGTATTATTATTTTTGTTTCCTCATTATCATCAAAATGGATCATTGTTAAATAAAAAAAAAGTAAGATAAAAAGCAAATAGATATGTTATGTACATATGTGTATATAGTTGATTCTATTACCTATGCAATAATATACAAATGTACGTAGAATAATAGAAAAGGAAGGAAAAAAGAAACGTTTTGCCCGTGAGAGAATGGACTTTTTCCAGTACATCCTTTGCATTTTCGCCAATTCGAGCATCACTTTGGGATTGGCTAGAGAGATTTGTATCAGGTACATTCATATTGTTCTGCAATAATCAGTGAAAGTCCACAAAACATTCGCCAATATTAGTGAAAAGCGGGAACTCCTCAGTTGTCAATTAAAACTTTCAAGATTTCTTCAGAAAGATCAATACTTAAATAATGCTTGACAAATAAATAAAAATGCATTTTTATAATTTTTCCGAGCTTTTTATACATGATCTTAGAGTTAATGATCCATCATAGAATGGAAACGAGGAAAAGCCTTTTTAAATAAAATAAAAATCTATCGAAAATATTATTTGATAATTTTCTTAGGTTTTTTACTAACGAACAAAATAAGACTCATTGAAACGAGTCAATGCCATATTATTTTTTCAATAGAATATTTTCTACAGGACTTCTTCTGTTTATTTTTTATTAGCACTAGTCTTTTTTCTCTCTTCGATTAAAGAAAAAGAGGAGTTTAATTTAGATACTTACTTGTGGCAGCTGTTGTAACAGTTTGACCAACAGCAAACGAAGAATTTTCATTTGAAAGTCTCATAACGCCAGTTATAATATCCCACTTGTGCAAAATTTTTACATGTTGTATAATCACAACAATTTCATCACCAGGAACCTGCTCGACGATGCAATCAAAACCGCACTCGCCGACGGTGGCTGGTTCCTTGGAACTAATATTAAAACACGTATTGATTAATTTTATGCTTTTAAGTAGTTGCTGATAATGCCGCAACTCAGTTTCATCATCATCATCGTCGTCGTCATCGTCATCATCGCCAACATCATCGCCTGAGATCAATTGGGAGATGCGACTTGAAAATAATTCAAAACGTTTTTTCAATTCATGTCCACCAAGAATAATGGTTGTCCTATAATTCAAAAACAATAACAAATAAACCAGAAGGTATGCATAGATTTAAAAAAAAAATAATTCTTGATTTTCATGAATTAGATATGAAAAACACGACGCAAATGGCATTTTTGACGATTAAAGGCATTGAAAAGTTTATACATTTCAAGTACATTAATAAAAAAAACAACATTTTCATCTATTCAAATTCATAATTTTGATAAAAAGTCCATTTCAGTATTAGAAAATTCAGTAATATTCATTAAACTATCTATCTTTTAAGTTCCTATGAAAGATCGAATGAGTTACTATAGCAATATTATTTATGTTTTAGTTAAAAGTTAAATCATGTTTATTGATTATTATATCTTTTAATATGAAATTTAAAAATAAACCACTTGATATATTAGTATTCTAGAATGAATTCAGCTGAATAGTAATATAATTTATTTGAGATAAAATAAATCGAATCCTATGTTATTCATATTGAAACGATCTATTTTCTGAAGATTATTTTTCAAACAGACATCTTTCTTTCATGAGCTGTCAATAAAACCAATTGAACATTGATGTTAATATTCATTTACATTGAATTAGTTACTAATANTACAAGTTCTATAACAGAAGAACAAACAGTAGCTACTATACTATACATAGATCAGCAATGATGATTCATCATCAAACATAGACATACCAATATTATCGAAAAAAAACATTTGTTACTACCTACAACCACTTTTTTCTGCTGATAATAAAATTTTGAGATTTTGCTATTGTTTATTTTCGCCTAAATTTATTTTCGCTGTAATAATTTTCGCTCATTTTTTTCGCTGAAAATTCTCTTCGCTATTGGATTTTTTCGCTCCATCTACACCATATCATTCATCAATGCCAATTACATGATATTTCTTTATACCAAGAAATAATCAATACAAATACTCATATAATAAAATGTTAAACCTTTTTTATATTGTTTATCAATAGTTCATTAAATCTCTCGAGATCTTTTAAATTTTATTTTCTACGACTTAATGAGTTATCATCATTTTTTGCCTCTTCAAAAGATTCTGAGCCTATTGTAATATACATTTTCAATTGTGGCATTCACGAGCTTTCAATTCTCAGGCTTATACATATAGTATTTTTCTTACTTGATGTTAGCTGTATGTGGATATGATATTACATGTTGAATAACATTCTTTAAACAGAGTCGCACATTTTTGTTTGTAAAATTTGACGACAAATAATTATCACTACGATGCTCCATGAATATTCTTCCATCGTCAAGAAGAATGATAAAGCAAAGGCACGGACCAATACCTACAGTTGATAAACGATAAGTTTTACATAATACAAATCTAGTTGGTAATTAAGCTTTTTTCTGTATTTCTGCAAAAAAACGTTTTCTTTTATTTATTTGTTGTCAAACAACAGCTTTCTCAAATACTTGTGGAATATTTAAATGTGTTTGCATCATTATACATATTATAGTAAAATAAGAAAAAATGATAAAACAACCCCAAAATTGTGTAGCTATATGTTTTTTTTGCCTTTCAACGGATAGATAGTGAAATCGAAGAAGAAAACAATTGAATATTTTACTTTATTTTCAATAATCATATTTACATTAAATATGATTTTTAGTCTATTTATTACACAAAAAAAAAGAGAAAGACTTGCATATGGTCTTTTTGATTATTACTTTCTTTCACTTTCCTCATGTTTTCTATCCCTCACTACATAATTGTAGCAACACATTTCATTTACTATGAGTTTGTAACGAAATTGCTCTTCCGAAAAAAAATGACGAATACAACTTATACAAAAGCAAGAAAAAGTTAATCATCAATTATAAATATCATTACCTTTTGTACCTAGACAATTTTCTGATATGTCATAGTGATCCATTTCAATATCATTAATTTGACATAACTCCTTTGACATGTCTTTTTTTTTAATAAGAAAAAAAGTACGAATATAAAAAAAAGCAGATAATAATCCGATTGAGTGAGCCTAAATGACAATAAGTAATACTTTTTGGGTATTTTCGATATTCACGTCGCGATGAACTATATATAATTTTCCTATTTTTTCTTTTCTTTTCTTTGTATATGACATGTGTTAGATGGAAAAAGAATTATATAAATAAATATTTAAAGAATAACTGTTCAATAGGCATATCAACTGACTTGAGATTTTCGATCTCATTCAAAGTTGATGAAAATTACATCATTCGAAAGAGCGTGAAAAACTTAGTATTGGGTACAAATTTTCAAAAATGTGCACTGTAGCATCCAGCAGTTTTTTTTAGAAAATACATTTCCCAACAAGAATTGATCTTATCTTTTTTTTTCTTTCTTTCGTTTTCTCTCTTGCGCGCTCTCTTACTCTTTCTGAACATGCGCAAGCATTCACGTATATGATTGTTCATGTACTTTGCAGATAAATATATTCACTTATATATACTGAAAAAAAAATTTTTAATCATAACATTTTCATGATGTTGAAGGCTGTTTGTAAAAACTGTTCGTAAAAATACTAAGATAAATTATGAGAAGACAAATCTATTTAATTAAGATAAGAATGTAAATGGTTACTCAAAGTTCAAATATTCAACATCATATTTTGATTGTCTAGAAATATGTCATATAATTATCATCGCTGATCGATTTTTAATCAAATAGAAAGTCATTTCTCTCTCTTGTTCTATAGATAATGAAAATCTATAAAAAACATTTATTCGAAATATTTTTCTATGTAATTGATATTTTCTTTTTCATTTGATCATTGCCATTATTGCACTGCTAGGATGAAAGATTATCGAAGACTAGTAGCACGTATATTCTTCAATACAGATGACATTTAAGCTTTCTCGTTTGTTTGTTATAAAAAGATAATGAATAATTTTTAGCTTAAACAAGCGGCAAAATGTAACATTCGTCAATTGAAAAAAAAATGTCTTTTCTTTTTAATTCAATATACAGTAATATTAAGTATGAATATTATACTTGATTTTTTAAATGAGATTTCGATTGTAATATTATTTCATATACAAAACAAAACTTTTCAGCTGGTACAAATGTTTCTTTGTTCGGTGGTAACTAAAGATGTTTTCCATGTTAATGTTTAGTTTGTATATCTAATTTTTACTAAATAAAATTTTTTGAGGGTCGTTTGCTTGTTGTTTTTATGTTTCAATATTTATTAAATCTTTGATCTTTCATTTGTTTTAAAATGCTTAGGCAATGGTAATCTTATACGTATATGAATCAATCGCCACTAAATGAAAAAACCGATAACAATATCAACAAAGAAAAGATTTTAAAAAATACCTTCGATTTTTTGTTGTTTGTTTGAAATTGTAGTTTTATTTGCAGTGTACTAAACAAAAAATAAATAAATCAAATCCTTTTCTTTCATAAAAAAATGTACCTGCTTCTTTAGAAAAATTTTATTCTTTATTTTTTATTGTGTAGATCATAAACAATGAAATATAATATTAAAAATAAAAACGAAAAAAAATTGTTCCAACTAAGAGATGACTTCTAAACAAAAACAAATCTTCATTGCCAATATATAGTTGGCCATATAAACTTTGATTTCGACGGTATTATCCTACTTTTCGAGTAATATTGAACATGAATAATAAGCTCAAATCAAAATAGACATTTGAATGCAGCCTAAATTGAATTGAACAATATTCAGTAACAATGAAACAGAAGGGTCAGGATCAGGTTTAGTGCATGCAACAAAAATCAACGAAATGATTCCTGAATCCTGACAAATCATATAAAATAATAATAGAAATAAGCAAACATAAAATAGAGTAACAGCAAAACAATAATAAGAAAAAGATAAATAACTAAAAAAAAAACATCCTTTTGTACCCTTAACAGTGGTTTTTATACATTTAATAGTGTGATTGATATAGATTGAATTGTAATAAAGCAACGAATAGAGGGAACCGGACAATAGAAAAGAAGATTATTAACAGAAATCTTTTTTTCTTCTTTTCGTGATATTCAGTCCAAGGAAATAGATGTCAAGAAGAGATTGTTTCTTATTTACAATGATGTAGCAACAGACAGATTTGTTTATAACGTGGTATGGTGGATTACAACTGCTGGATTATTAGATTAAAGTCTGTCTCTAATGTATGCGCTGGCACAGTTTAGCGAAACAACAGAGTTTGAAAATGTCGAGATAAAAGGACGGAAGAGAGAATACCCGCAGTTCCTGATATGGAATAGTTTCTATTTTAGAAAATATTTTGCAGATACGAGAGTTTGAAATCTAAGTCTTGTACCGTGAGGAACTGGTTGTATTCCGAAAGTCTCGTAGATTTAAACATTTCGGTAGGATACTGAGAAAAGTTTCTTCCAGTTTTGGAATTTTTGTTTGTTCGATATCATAAAAACTTCTCGCATAGTTGAGTTAGAGACTACTTCAAAGAAAGAATAATTATTTAAAAAGTCATTTCGATGACAATGTGCGTCGACGATCGGAATATTGTTTGATAAGTGAATGTACAAATTACACACACAAGTATGGCAAAGAGTTTTGAAGCAAAATTGTATATTCATGTTCGACAACTGGAAAAATAGAAAAGAATATTTATCGCATTTCATGATTTCAGAAAAGTAGATAGACAAAATCTGTCTTATTCTCAACAATTTTCGAACACATTTGATTCTGCTAGTTTGTGCATTTTCTTTTTCGTCCTTCTTCAAACTGTCTCTTGTTAGAGTTTCGTTCGAAAAATGCGAAAACCTATGCATGTATATTTTTCTTTCTTATTCTTCTCAAGAAACCTTGAATACAAAAATGTAAAGCACAGCTACTCAATTACCTATGTGTGCCGGTTATCCAATCAAGCCATCAAAGTTGTCACGTAAACAACAACCTCATCTAAAAATGATTGTTGATTAACGTCTTGACATAGCGATGGCTGATTTGTACTGTAAAAACAATGGAGCTTTGAATTACTAATAGTAGTATGTGGTCCAATACACTTAAAAGCGACCAGTAAGAAATCAAATACTGACGAAATTCTTTTTCTTTGAAGAACTGAATAATTCAATTTATTTTCCTTTTGAAATGCTGATTGACCGAGAATCATATTTCATCTAAAAGATACATTTTTGACTTACTTTTCTTTCCCTAATCATGAATGCACACATGTCGATTCTATGCATGAGAAATGACTACATTTCTTTACTTCTATCATATGTTGTTTAAGAGCTCTGAAAAATTCTTGTACAAGCTAAACATGTTTTGACATCGTTACGGTACATTTTTGTAATATTAATTGGTAGTCAAACATTTTTCAAATAAAAGATCGAAGCAAATATTTAATTTAGGTGACTCTTCTCCTCTAGGCAATTGAGTTTACAGCAATCATTTCATCAATCGAATAGTTTGCTTAACGTCCGTGCTGTGCCTCCTACACTCTATACACAATATGTTATTTTTTCTTTCTTTTTTCATCGTTCTTCATTTTCTCTTTCTATTAAAAATATATGTAGAATCGCTTTTTTCATCTTAAGTAAACAATGTTCTGTGGACTTTAAAGAAGAAAAGGTGCATGCATCGCCATTGACTCATGTCTTAGCATCGACTGAATTCATTATTCAACGATGGTATACAAACGGAGTTGTCACTTGTAGAGCTTGCAGAATTTTTTCTAATAAATTATTTTGCGAGCGAACTACTAGTGAAACAGATAACTTCTGCAACTTGAAAAAATACCATTCCTCTAATTCAAATTAGATCAAGATGGAGGGAGCTCACTACCGTAAAAATGATACTCCTGAAGGAGTATCCTCTGGTGATAACAAGACCACATTTGCTGACAGTATAATCAAGTTTTATACTGCAAAATTACACATCGTTATGATTGTGTTGGAATTAGTGATTGGTAGTGTGGAATTGGCTGAAGGTGTCAGATATAACAACCAATGCCCGATTCAACCCATGATTGGAACGTTTTTGATCGTTCACGGAGGTGTTTCAATTTTTTCTGGGTTGATCCTTATGCTGGCTGTGAGTGATGCCAAATATGTATATGGATGAAGTGAAAGAACGATTGCTCGTCAGATCTTTTTTATTCTTGCCATCATCATGGTTATTGTCAATCTTTTCTTTTTTGCTTGGTTTATCGCTGGTAATGTTTGGGTTTTCGGAGCCAAGGCGAATGGCGTACAAGGCAGTGATCCCACGAATTCGACAACATACTGTCAATCAGATATGTATCGTGCTGCGATTGTGCTTATTATAGCGAGATATATCGTCGTGCCCATTATTATTATCGTTGTCATCGTTGTGCGTTGCTGCAAGAAAACTAAATAGACATCATTTAACTAATCAGCGAAAGATTTAACTTCTTTCAATATGATTCAAATAAACGATATGTGTCTCTTTTTTTAGGTACTGATAAATAAATGTGAAATACACAATTCAGCAGAGCTTTGAAATCATACAAATTTACATTGTTTCCTTTTGCAAAAAGAATTGTATCTAAAAATGCACAAGGATCTTAAATTTTAACCTATTGTGATTTTTCGTCGAATCCAATATGGCACATAACTGTATTTTTATTCTCGTTCTTCTTCATACCCTTATCGTTCGACAGCGATAAGTATTCTTCCTCCCTTGGACATGAATGAAGAAAAGTCGTGCAATAATACATTCTGATTTTCCTATCCCACAATTTCGTTAAATTCTAAAATAATTGAAGTACATTCATTTAAGATTATTCTATCTTAATTTGCTTGGCCATCTTTCAATTCATTAGAAGGCGAAGCCAATTTGACCGATATTACACGAATCATTTTCTGCATTTTTTCTATTGTTTCCGGAGACGGTGTAGTAGTTTTCTCTGCTGCTTCAATTGCTTTGTTATAATATTCGAGTGCCGCTTTAAAATCATCCTTTAAAAATAATAAATCGGCAATATTTTCATACGCTGTTGAATGCTCATTGAAATTTAACGGTTCTATAATTAGAAGAATTTCAAGAAATTTCTCGTAATATTTCAACGACATTTCTCTATTATTCATGTCAGAATAAACCACAGTCATCACATTGTATATTCGCAAAAGATCATGATTATTTTGTGTTGAACACTGCATTTGAATTTCAAGAGATTTTTCATAATTTTCCAATGCAAGATGACTGTTATCGGTCATTCGATAAACATCACCAATATTTAAATAAGTTCTCGAAGAAAATGGATGATCCGATGTCGACGTGCTAAGTGCTTTATTGTAATTTATCAAAGCTTCCGTATAGTTCCCATTAGCAGCATAAATTAAGCCTATATTATTATAGGCAATAGAAAAGTCAAAATGATTTTCTGGTAAACATTTTGTCATAATTTCCACAGATTTTTTATAGTTTTCCAAAGCTAATGAATAATTTTCAAGACGATAATATATTGAACCTATATTATTGTATGTTAATGCGAT